CACGTCATTTTGTAAGATATCGTAATCTTGAAGGGTACGAATGCTTTTGAACGACTTAATGTTATCTGCGAAAAGTAATAGCTCACACTTATCTACGCAAGACACAATATCATTTATACCCCCCCCCCCCCCCCCCCTAATGTTTGGACTTCGTAGGGACGACGCTAAAACGTGAATATACTCTATTTAATCTCTCGGCGACTATAGCTAGTGACAAATGAAACGATGCAGGGCGGTCCTGAGCGTGTGATCATCGCTTTGCAGCCAGCTGATTGCAGCATGAGCCGATAGAACCTGCGTCAAGACAGTGCGACAAGACGGTGGCGCCACGCTTTGGCTCATAGCGGAAGTATTTCGCACATAACACGGCCGGATTGGCACAGACATTCCTTACCGGAGCACAGCTCTATATTCATAACGTTCGGGCCCACACTCAGCACTAACTAGATGTTTTATACGAGACCATGGAATTAAGGACACTGATCACCTCCGCGCTACGGCGAAAACCGACGCAATCATCTCAATTCGAGTATGTCAACTCGATTAACCGGCGAACAAAGAAGAAAAAAGGGAAAAAAAAGAAATGAAAAGAGCGAAATATACTTTTCATGTAGATGTTATCAATGTACAGTTTTTCTAAAGCGCCTATATACGAAAAAGTAACGACATTCTTTGGAGAACTGACCCCGTAAGTGTGACGTCGCCGCTCCAAACCAACCGTAGCTAGGGGCGTTGTTATGGATGAATACATGGGACTGGATTTCGCTCCGAAAGAACAATCGGTCAAAACTTATACGTGCTATTCAAACGTCCAAAAATAATGGATAAAAAAAAGCTTAGATTTCACGTTTAGCACGACGGGAGTTTGGCGAGCATCGGCTGTTTCTGAAATATTTCCTCCAGCAACCCAGTGCTCGGGACGGCTCGAAACACCTGTTGTGGACGACGAGTTAATAATGAACGCGCACCGGATGACTGGAGTATGCCGTCTGCAACAGTTTGAATCACTTGCACAATTATGCGATTTTGATTTTGTATTTATTTGGAACACGGCAGGCCTAAAAAAACTAGTAAAGGTTTATAAAAAATGACCGCATCTCCACGTGGTGGATAATGTTGATTGGGGCGAAGCTCTCGTGGTGCTCATGATACTGATTTTATTGCTCCTAGGTAGTGCTGAGTTCCGGGTTGCGTTTCCACTTCAATATTACTGCTTTATGGTCGGTTAAATGCAGAGCCAGTGGTTCTTCTAGCGGATTCGCTTGGATCCGTTAGAAGCCGTGGAAACGCATCTCCACCGCTTAAGTCAACGGTCCTTGACAGAAAGAGAATGTGTGGTATGGAACGTGGTTAAATACGCATTTGAGCATTTGACCGCAGCGCCTTCTCGTCTATAAACGTTGAGCCAATATATGCAAAGTTTAACGCGATTATATACGCATTTGACCGCAGTGCCCTCTCCTGTAGAGACGTTGAGCAGCTACATGCAACGTTTGATCCATGACAGAAACCCCAGCTCTTGAGTTCCTACCACATCTCAGAGCCCCCTACTCGTCCCGCAGTCGTGGCCAAGTGGTTGAGGCGATGGACTAGAAATCCATTGGGATTTCCCCGCACAGGCTCGAATCCTGTCGACTGCACAAACATTTTTTTCTTTTTTATGTGAGCGCAGACGCCGGCGGACGGACGGACGGACGGACAAGGCTAGACCCCAAAGAGCTTCGCCCCTCAAACCAAATAGTATTTCCGTGCGATACGGGATACTGTGTGACGAAACTCATCACATCACCACTAAAAATACAGCGAGGAAAGCATATACTTAGAACATGATATCAAAGCAGCGTCGGGCACGCTTTTTGATTTTTCAGTTGGCGTGCGTTGCAATAAAGGAGCATTTATTTTGACCCCAACATGAGAGGTTCGAGACCCCAAACTTAGTTTTTCGGGCTTACAATATAGATACGTGTTTGTACCTGCCTTGTAATAATCATACTGACAAAAAATCCTACTTATTCATGAGTTTTAAATAACACCCCAAGCGTGCATGACTGAGAAGGAACGCGTCTCCGTGCCTCTAGAAGGTTCGAGTTTATTCTTACCCCGAGTGTAGAATATAAGAAAATGAGAATGATTTTGCCTAATCAGTCTCACCTCACTAACGAACATTCTAGATCGAATGTTCGAGATGCCAAGTGTAGTAGATAAAAAGCCGAGCGCGGCTTTGTCGAGCTCCCAGCCAGCTGTTATGCCGACGCATCATCACTCGATACTGCCGCCGTTGACGCTCATCCTTCCTTTTGTTTCTAGGCACAACATCGCCGATTGAAACCTTATTTTATTTTTTACGCTTGTCGATTCGTTTTCAAGTGCGACAATTTATATCTGCTACGACACAGTTCGTTTGATCACAAAAATGTGCACTGAAGCAAAGGTGGTGTCAGAAATCCTTGAAACGTGTGCTGGCCTGCACTTCGACCTATATACACCTCACGTCGTCGTCGTACGTGATTCGGCTTCACATTGTTTTCACCTTTTCAAATATTGCGAAAACAAGCTCCACAGGAAGGCGTTTGCGTGCTCGCTCACCTCGAGCGTCGATCACAGCTGTGCACGGGCTTTCTGCGCTTCTAAAATCCTGCAGAAAGTTGACCCCAAGAATAGAAGTTTAGTCGGTCTTCACCAACTTCACTCAACGCGGTCGCGTACTTCCTCAGAAAGAGCCGCTTAGCCCGCAAATCCATTCTGTCGTCTGCTAGCAAGAAAAAATCCGACTGTGAAACTTTATTACGGGGTTTTGTCATCGCTTTATGGTACTGAGAAGATAGAGAACGTATTCGTGATTAGATATCGAGAATACACAGTGCTTACAAAAAGTTATTTACCTTCTTATCAGACAATTTATAGCCTCACCTCGAGGCCCTAGCAACGGTTCCTTTGGAGCGGAGCGGCACGTTGTGACGTCATCACTTATCGGGTCATTGCTGCCTGGTATCTTAGAGCAATCCAGGCGGCGCTGCTATCAACGCGCGAGTACGAGAGAGCATAATTAATGAGTGTGCACGGAGGAAGAGGAGAGAAAAGGAATTCCTGTGCTCTCAATTAAAATTACCAGTTTTTCTATGCTATAGATTGCAACCTCAACGATGAAGTTAACTCAGTCGGTTACCAATTGGCTGCCCTCTTGGGCACGTGATATGACATTGTGATTGAGTTTTACCTATGGTGTTCCATGGAGTTCGAGGCATGCTGGTAAAATATTAAAGTTTGCGGTGACGTAAAAATCTCGTCACGATTCAGTTTGGCGTTGGAGATAACTTCGTAGTCGTCAGGCAGCCGGAGTTGCTAACGTTAGTGAAGATGGCGACGTTGACGTTCGAGGACGGGGCAAGGCAAAGCAGGCTTTCAGGGACCATCGCTGCGTTTTGTACAAGTTTGGGTCGAGGTTTTCCAGGGACGTAATCAGAGAGCCCTACGCTCGTTGGCTCTGAAAGTCGCCATGGAAGCTGTGGCGGCGGCGTGAGGGGCGTCGTGTTCTTGCAGCCGAGCCGCAAGTGCTTTCAGCCTCTGCGTTGTTGGAGGGATATTTTGCAGTGAGGAAGACATCGCCGTGCATCTCTGCGCTGTGAGTCGCATTCTGTTGGACGTTACAAAGGCGATAATCGATCACCCGAGGCTTAAGATGGGTGGGCTTCGCGCGATGAGAAAACAAAAAGCCGACAACCAAGAAGCTCAGCGATGCGAATTCAGCGGTTGGTTCGGTAAATACTCTTGCGTACCATTACGCTGGGTTATAATACAGTCTGAATCGAACATTTCTTCAATGAGCTTGCAAGAGAGCTCTCCATAGAAAACGGGCACCTCATTCAATGCGATAAGTGTTGTGCGGGATCGCATTCAAGCTTACTCTCGTGATTGCATGTGTGTCATTTACCCACAGGTCTAGGGCCACAACATCGGGAAATTTTTCAGCTGCAGCACGCTGTTTACGTTTTCACTTCACACTTGCCAAACTCTCTTTGTATGGACAGATCATGATGCATAATTTTGATTGGCTGATATTTGCGCTACACCCCTTTGCTTTGCAAGTCATGATTTTTGGTACAGCGCAAGCGAAGTAAAATATCTCCGCATTCTTTTTCCAATATTATTATTATTAATATTATTATTATTATGCAGGCTTTTTGGGACGTTATAAAAACATACGTGCTACTAGCTTTATGTAAAGGCTGCATTAGCATAGAAGGCCTCTATATACTCTTGATGTGCTTTTTAACAACTTAAAATGTTATGAAACCTTCATGTCAGACACTGTTGCATGGTGGTGACAGAGGCTAACCCTGAAGCCAATTCCGCGCAACCCCACTGGATGCTCTGCTGTCCCGAGGAACATTCTCCTTTCTTTTCTTAAGTGGTCGCTACAAGTGGCGTAATGGCACTTACCATCACTTGCGAACGACACGTTCCATGGTGTGCTAGAAAGAACATCACAACCATGCGATTTCTCAGTTCTTTTTTCAGTCGAGGATTAAAGCTAAGAAGGAAACTGTTGAATAAATCATTTCATGGTCCCTATTTATGCAGCGATGGTGGTGACCACGAATATAGAGGGGACAGTCTTATGGCATCAGCAAGTCAAGATGAACTTTATGCCACATTTGGCGGTTTTACGTGGCAAATGTACACAGAACATCTGGCACGTTCCAGCGGAGAATTCAGGAATGATTTCATTCACCTGGCGATCCTTTGGCATCAAACCGAAGTCTCAATTTCCTCATCAGCCACCGTCAAATTGTGGACAACTTTGGAAGAGGTTTAAAATCGCGAATCCGAAGGCCGTCGCTTTGCCTCGGTGATACCGCGGCGGTGACACATGTGTCGTACTTTGGGTGCTTCCTGTCCCGGATTATTTCTACTTTTATATGTAAGTGCGATTTCCCGCGCTTCACGTGCGTCAGGATGGCATATGTGCACCGCTTTATATTTCTGCTTTATTCCTCTAGGGCTGGAACGACGTGAGCTACAACGGATGTCCCCAGATCAGAACGGCCAACATCGACGCGTTGGCCTGGAGCGGCATACGGCTGCGGCGCTATTACACGCAGTCCATGTGCACCCCGTCGCGGGCGGCACTGATGACCGGACGGTATCCAATTCACACAGGTCGGTTTCTTAGCTTTGCCGCAAGCACCGCAAAAACATGAGAGTCGCTCAATATTTTTAAATCGGACAAGATTTCCAGAGCGACTCAACCATTAGGTTGTATGCGTTCGTTAGTAAGCACCAAGAGAGCAAATTTCGTGGTAATCGTTTTCCCACTGAATTCAAGCGGAAAGCCTGAAATTATGCATAATTGGCGCAGAGTCACGCCGCGTTCGGAATGGAAACTTGGGCGGGTTGGTAAGAAATTATTATTTAAAACGTACAGCGAAACAGACGGGGCGGAAGAAAGGAGACAAACAGTCGCTGAACTTACAACTGAAGTTTTAATCGTAAAGGCGCAGCCTATATACACGACCAACAAACAAAAGGGAGTACACACAGCCTATAACTCCGCTCTGAAAACCCGCACTATCATCGCGCTTGCTGTCGTCGTGAAAGGAAATATAATTCTTTAGCCGACAAAGGAAACGACGGGGCGTTAACACACTCTTACACCAAGCGCGGTATCATCTCTGCCTCCATAATCTCTCTGGTCAGGGCACTGACACTTCTTCCAATAACGGCGTTTTTTTTTTTTTGTTTTGTTTTTTTAAATCCCGAATTACACCCACAGTTACGAGAATGAATGCCCAAGTGTCTTGATACTACCCTGCTTACATTGTAACAATGTCCTCTTAACCTATCATTCAGGCATCTGCCCGTCTTACCTACGTATTGTTTACCACAGGATAGCGGAAAGGCGTAAACAACTTTTTCTGTACAATCAAAAACCAATTTCGGTGCTTTTTCGTACACTCCGGAGGCCTCCCGACAGACTGATTGACAGTTCTGCAAAGCTGAGAGAACTTGTACCCCTGTCGGACGGGATAGTTTAGTGCTCTTCAAGCGAGTGCGCTTCAACCCGCCGAAACCCACTCCAAGAGGGTTGGTGCAACACGGTAACCACTGTGTCACTCCAAAATGATGGCAATGACGATAGGTAAAGCAATAGTCACGCAAAATATATAAGCGCATACGCATATTTTCATAAATAACTTCGTCGTCTTATTAAAAACACGTTACCACACATTGTTGCGCTAAGTCACGAGGTTAAATCCAAATTTAAATCCAATTTGAGGACTATGATGAGCCTTTTACAATCCAGCCAAATCCAAAATCTAGATATCACTTTCATTCGCCACAACGAAAAATAAATTCGGGTGTGTGCCTCAACAGGCGATTTGTCTCCAAGCTGTGGATGTGAAATTTAGCCAATGCAGTACAACCGGTAGGTTGGGGTTTTTAACGTGCACCATGCAGTAGTGATACACCACCGCACGCCGATACGATGCTCATCCAGATCGAAACGGACGGGGGTGGGGCTCGAGCCCAGGATCCCTGGGTTCTGCAGCGCGAGCTTTCGCTCCACGTGCTACGAGCTGATGTGCGCGAGCCCACTCGGCCACTCGCCACTCGCCACAACGAAACCTCATGGAGTGTGTGGAAGACAAACTGGAGGGCGATATCCGCGATGTTCCTGAAGAACGAACGGTGGTTCGAATACGCCTTGCACTTTTGGGTGAGTTCCATTTCAAGCAAGCCTTTCGCGCTTTCCTGCCATGCTCAGATTTCTGGTGTAGTCATGCAGGTGCCTCCTGGAGCGGGAGAGAACAGGTATGAGGGAGCCAATCTTCCTTGAGGAGAGAGTTGCAGTGGGCTTGTACCGTTTGTGCTCGCGCGCTGAAGACAGGAGAATCGCACACCTGTTCGGAATCGGTCGGTCAAGCGTAAACATGCTGTACAAGGACTTCTGCGATACCGTGATTCAAAAGCTGGAAGACGACTGGCTCCGGATGGCGCGCTCGGACGAGATGACGGCACGCATGGGCGAGCTCTTCGCTGTTTTTGGATTCCCGCACTCTGTCGGCGCCCCGGGCGGCTGCCACTTTCCAGTGTCGCCACCCAAAGAGCAAGAGCTGACTACCACAGCTTCAAGGGGAAAATCTGACTACAACAGCTTGAAGGAGTGGTAGGTGTCTCTTAATGCTTTTCCCACATTACTTGTTTGCTAGGATAAATATTGGTCTACAGACTGCAATATGCGATATATTTACAAATTTTGGGAGAGAAATGAGTGGCCCTCACTATATAGCGCTTAATGACATCATTCATGAATTTAAAAAAATAAGTATAGGTATACAGCTTCTGAGCCATAGTAATGATTTTGAAGTTAATATAAAAAATATTAAACTGTACTTTGTTTTCTCTTACTGCAATGAATAATTTTAAACATTATTCATTACTTCTGAAATATGCTCTTTTTATGCTTATTGGCCTGTTTTCCTTTCTTTTTCTCAAAACAGGTATAGTATAATCCTTTTGGGGTTGGCGGACCACCAGTACCGTTTCCGGTACATAAACTTGGGAAGCCCCGGCAGGTGCCATGACGCGAACGTGTCCGGACGTTCAATACTGTCCACACTTGTTGACGCTGACCACTTCCGGTCTCCTGTGCTAGTCATTGAAGGTAGTGTTGTAGAACCCGTCATTTTGTGCGACCAGGCATTCTCTTTCACAACACACCTGCTAAAGCCGTACGCAAATTCCTCAAGTGAGACACGAGAAACTGTCTTCAACTACAACCTCTCAAAAACGAGAGCAATACTAGAAAATGCCTTTTCCAGACTGAAAGCTCGCTTCTGATTTATTATGAAGAGAATAGAATGCCGCCTGCAAAACGCAAAGCGAGCAATCAGGGCCGCATGCATACTTCATAACATCTGCGAGGAATTCAAGGACAAAGTTGAACAGCAGTGGGAGCACGAAGCACGTGAGCTTGACTCTTTCTATGCACAGCCTGCTCGCAACACTGATGTGCGTGATGGGAGAGCCGAAGAAGTCAGAGACGCACTGGAAGACTATTTCTGAAAGCGGGATCAGCGTGCACCAGGAACAGCTACAGCAGCCAGTTAACAACGCATCTGGAAGTGACTCACCGTACACTAGGCACAGGTAGAGAGGCCAATTGACAACACAGACCATCGACATATGTGCAATAAAACAAATGCATACCAAAATGGTGTGAAGCTGTGATGCGTTTGCTTTATTTTGTTAGAAGTTAAGTAAGGAAGCCGATGAAACGATCTTTCCTCTCTGCTGCACGCTCTTGCAGCATTAACTGCCGTCCGTGTATAACCAGTTTTTTTTTTTTTTTTTTTTTTGCGAGATGTTTTTTGCGAGATGTTTTTTTGCGAAAACGCAGCTGCCGCTGTCCTTCGAGCGGCTACACCAAGAAGGTTGCGTGCGAAGCCTGACGCTTCCTCGGCTTTGCTGGCCTCTCCGCTGCTTATTGCCATGGCCTGGATGTAGAGGGTGATGAGTTTGGTAACTCCTCAGCTGAGGCTTGCGATCCAGATGATGCAGGCTTACTGATGAGGCCATCTTATAAGAGGACCGCTTTCCGTCCTCGCCCGCGTTCCCGCTGACCATTTCATTTAAAATTTAAAAGAATGCATATGTGCATCAGAGCAGAGAAAATATGTCCATCAACATTAACGCTTAACAGGAACCTGTTCTTCATTTTTGAGAAGTACAGGTGAACGTTATGCTACATGCGGCGCAGTGCGAGATTTACATGATGCCACTCCCCACTGGAAAAACTCGTCCAGGAAGTACAGCACAGAGCGGCCCCACTAGCCCAATGGTTTTGGAGCCATCTGCCTGCGTGCAACTTTTAGTTCTCAGTCAGAGTCCGTCCTGAGTGCTCCTGCTTTTGTCCTGCCCCTGCTGAGCTGTTTTTAATCATTTCGCCCGTTCCAGCAATCCACCCGTATATCCAAAATAAGTTGATATTTCTGTAGGTCTGTGTGCTGCTAGAAAAGTGGTTTCTCCAGGAGTGTACTCACATGCTCAACGGAGTCACCTCCGTCGCATACGCACTCCTCCATGATGCTAGCATCGTTTGCGGGCAAGGAGCCCAGGAAACGGTGCACGTCCCCGTAGAATCTCCACGTTATCCCACCTGCACCCGTTGTCCTTTTCGGCTAAGAAGCCTATGAGCAAAGTAAACAGTAATTAATCATTATGACTTTATTTCTGTACCCATAAGCAACCTATAATGTGGCACACGTAAACATAGCAATACAGGCGTAAAACATGCTCAATCAATATGCAATCAGACGAAAAGAAAAAATGCACAACTAAAAATGGTAAATCATCTCGAGCAGTTTGCATTTTAAATTAGCATAAAGTTCTAAAGAACATCGAGATTTCGATGACTAAATTTTTGCATGCATCCCTGCATTCTTGTTATTACGAGCAGGTACATCTAAATCGCAGTACATAAAAGCTGTAGTAGTGCGGCACCACAGGCCTGAGGTGTCGGCCAATGGCCTTTCTGCGGTGCCGCAACCTTCCAGGGTTGAATAAAGATATTATTGTTTGTTGCTGTGAAGTATTTTGTGCAAAAAATTAAAGACGTTCACAATCCCCTTCACGCCAAATTAGAGCGCAGCACTTGAGGAGGAGGAGGGGAAGGTATGGAGAAAAGGGTATGCCCCTCCTCCTCATCCGTATCCTCCTCTGCTCCTCTCCTGCTCGCCTTCCATCTTGGGGGAAAATTCCCAGCAACTTTAGCGGGACTTTTTTCTCTAAATTTAGCGGGGAAATTTGTCACTAAATTTATGGGGGAATTTAGCGGGGAAAATTTTCTGCTAAGTTTAGTGGGGAAATTTACTCTTAATGCAACGCGCGGTGACGTCATCAGTGACGTCACCGGTGACCCTCGTGACGTCACACGTAACGTTACGTGGGACGTCATCTCGTCACTGGTGACCCTCGTGACGTCACACGTGACGTCACGTGTGACGTCATCATGGGAAACGTCCCCTAATGCACCGCGCGGTTACGCCGACGGCGACGCCCCTCAAACCGGAAACGGGCGCCTAAGAGCTGCGCTCTAAAATATCATATCCCACGACAGCCTTGGGGTAAATAGATCTTGCAGACAAGTTCATCAAGCA